TGTGTGTGTGTGTGTGTGTGTGTGTGTGTGTGTGTGTGTGCGCGCGCTTGTATGTGCGTGTGTGTGTGTGTGTGTGTGTGTGTGTATCTCTCTCTCTGTATCTGTGTGTGTGTGTGTGTGCGTGCGTGCGTGCGTGTGTGTGTGTGTGTCTGTCTGTCTGTCTGTGTGTGTGCGTGTGTGTAGCGCATATAGGCAAGGAGGTATGAAGAGAGTGTGAAACAAGTGAAATACCACATAGTTCGATCATTAGTAGCGCGATATTCGCTGCGGCAGTTGTCACAGCCGACATTTATCCGAGGACGACGAAGCCTTTACCCGAGAGGCGTACGACATGTCTATTTATAACGGCTAGACGTACATCCATACTATCGTCGACTGATTAAGAAGCAGTGCGATTCTTTATACACCGGCTGATAAGAAATACAACGTGAGTCTCTCGTACCGCCTTCTTCGATCATTCATCCTCTTTAAAACGTATAATATATAGTCACATGCGGAATTAAAGTGTTACTGAATGGCTGGGGTGAAGTGAAGCAGGGTCACTGATGGGTGGCGGCGGCGGCTGCGCTCCTGCTGCTACTATGCTCATTATGATTCGTTGTAATCAGTGCTAAATGCATATGATTTATGTATGGATTGATATACATGTGTAGTAATCGTTCATGATTCTTCTTTAAAATATTAATATTTTGTGCCTTGACTCTCTTTACAATATCAATATTCTTTACCAAAGGGTACACCTTAGTCTCTACCAGGGGGATTATAGGCCCCCTCAAAATCGTAGGCCCATGCCAACTGGCCCACCTGCCCCCCCCCCTGTTCTGGCCTGTATATCGACTATTACTTACTATAGACGCTGTCTATTACTAGACTACACTCCATCTCAGTAGATAATAGTAATTACCAGTCTTAACAAGTTACAGTCATGCCTGCAGATATTTTTATGCCTTACAAATGTTTTATGGTCATCACCTATTACACCTATTATAACCTATTATAGACAACGCATTAATTTAGAATATACACAATAAAATGTAGAAAAATAAGAGTAGACTACTCACATTTCCCAGCTGCTCCTTGCTCTATCAACTATCATGCAGCTGTGTACCTGTACCATAGTAGAGGACCCATATAAGCCTCGTCTACACGACGAACCTCGAGTTAAGCGTCTACATGCGTGTGTGCGTTAACTCGAGTTAGCTTAACCTCGCCAGTCGATCGAGGTTAAGCTAACTCGAGTTAAGGCCCGTGTAGACGCTTAACTCGAGTTAAGGTCCGTGTAGACGCTTAACTCGAGTTAAGGCCCGTGTAGACGCTTAACTCGAGTTAGCTTAACCTCCACGATAGGCGGCAGCACTAGTACGATGTACGTACACACGCACGCACACACTCATGCTCGCACGCACGCACGCACGTCTACGTGCACATGCATGCACGCACGCACGTACGCACGCACGCACACATGCACACACGTGTACCTGCACAAGCACTCACGCACGCACGTGTACGTGCACCCGCACGCACACACTCATGCATGCACGTGTACGTGCACACGCACGCATGCACGCACGTGTAGGTACGCACGC